ATTTGGGGTTTGGGACGGTTGTTGGGGTTTGCTTTTTCCGTGCGGGGTCCTGTAGCCCAGGCTGGCCTGGGAGCCCTAGGGCTGGTCTAGAACTCTCGTCCTGCCCTCTGCGACTCCCAAGCTCTGCTTCACCGGCCTAACCTTTCCTTGCCTTGACTAGATAAGATCTAGGACGTGAATTCTAGAATTTCAGTACTGTTAAAACCTTTGGCTGTTTTTAAAGGGCTCTAGGGGCTATGAAACTTTTTCAAGCATCTCCTCCCGCCCCCAAGGGTTGCTGCCTTATCGAAAAATTTAAGTCTCGTTGCTGTGTGTTTTTGGTGCGGTTGCCAGCGCGGATCGCCCGTCGCCATTTCTCAGAATTCTGAGGAAATCAAGACTTTGTGTTCATTCTGGCGGAGGGATGCCGAACGCGTCCGTCAAGATGAAGAAGAATAAGGATAATGGGAAGTTCAAGGTTCGCTGCGGCCGGTATCTGTACACCCTGGTCATCACAGACAAGAAGGAAGCCATCAGTACCCCGTCCCCCAGGTTTGGCAGTGAAGGAGTTGAAATGAGTCAGACGTAGAATTTGACTATCAAAACCTTGAAGAGTCAAAAATAAAATAAAATTTAAGTCCAATTTTTGTTTTTCTATTTTTATTTTATTATTTTGTAACCAGTCTTGGAACTTATTGTGCAAACCAAATTGGCTTCGTACTTACAGTGATTCTCCTGCCTCTGCCTCCAAAGTGCTGGGATTACAGGAGTGAATGAGACACCATGGGTGAGTCCAAACTTTTTAAAGTAATTTTCCCGTCTCTGATGAACTTTGTCTAGAACACAGACTATTGCATATAAACAATACTTCCCACCATACTTCCCCTAAGGTCCTGGGGAACCATAGACATTTTACCACCTTCGGTTTGTTTTTTTAAATATTTATTTATTTATTATGGATACATATTCTGTTTGCATATATGCCTGATAGAAGAGGACACTAGACCTCATTACAGATGGTTGTGAGCCACCATGTGGTTGCTGGGAATCGAACTCGGGTCCTTTGGAAGA